CTTGCTCTCATATATGGTCCGCACTCTGAGTTGCCTCTTTACTGCAGCAATAAGTGGGGGTCGCTGGAATAAGGCACCTGTCAGAGTTTCTAGGGCCTAAGAATAAGCACAAACCAAAATAAAGACTCATTGTATAGACTCTCAAATAAGAGCAAACAGCCTATTGTGGCAGTTTGAGGACACAAATGAAAAATTTTCAATCATTTAAGACCTAAAATGTCCTTTCCATTTTTGCTTCTTTCTTTATTAGTGACACAGGGATGATTCAGTGCTTATCAGAGAGCCCTTTCCTCAGAAGGGACATGGCCAGAAGTGCCCCTGCCAATCTGCAGTACCTGTTCAGGCTGGCGTGAGCAGCCCACTGAAAAGGGCACAAGATAGGACAGCCAGGAAAGCCGACCTGTCTCCAGATGTCTACGGGCTTAGATACCCACATCACCAAAAGGTGCCCTCCCTGTAATCACAAACTTACCCTAGAAAGTTGAGTCCCCCCTTCAATAGCATTGTGTAGCCGGACAATTCCCACATACTCTTTGCCTGAAAAATGACAAAAGAGTAGTCAGGTATGGCCACTGAGTTTTCTGTATTTTTATATGCTCATATTCCCATTTTGTGCAGCAAGAAAAGCATGCAGTTTGATGACTTCTTTCTGTAAAATTTCAATGAAGACAGATTTCATGGTTTGGACATGGGAAAGGAGTGAAGATGCTTCCTCTCACTGGGGGTTCAACTTCCAATGTGCTGACAGGAACAGCTGGAATACACAGTGTAGAGCCTGCTTAGAACAAAACCTTGCAAGGTCATGTAGGAGATTCCCCTGATGAAAATGAGGGAAGGGCACTTTAGGCAGAAGCAGCAGCGAAGACTCCAAGGAGCCTGGAGCGATAAGCCCAGAGCGGGACTCAGACACAGACCTGTCTCAGTCCTGGGAACAGATCTAGTCAACTTGATGTGCACATGTCCAGTACCTGGAACTCCAAGAAAGGCAGACACCCTAGGATCTGGCAAAGGACAGAAGGTACACAACCAAAGTATCCCTGCTTAGGACTTTTTTTAACTAATGAAGAAACCATTACCAAGGGCCAAAAAGTAGAAGGAAAGGAAACATAGAAAGCCTTCCAATAACAAAGGAGCTGCCTCCTTTTATTCCCTCTTCCACATACCTGCACTCTGCTGGGATTTCACCAAGCGAGTGGCTCGTTCTATGCACACGATTAAACAGCCAGTCACCTTGGGATCCAGAGTACCACTGTGTCCTGTTTTCTCCACCCGAAGTATTCGTCGGATCCAGGCTACCACCTCATGGGAAGAGGGGTTGGAAGGCTTGTCAAGATTAATGAAACCTGTCCTAAAATGGAAAAGAAATCACTGTGCCGTCATCTCTGGCCCTCTAATAAAAACTAAATCTGAAGAGTAAAAAAGTTCACCACAGGTACAGGTTATGTATTTACAGCAATTCCAGGCGTTTCTAAAATGCCGCTACCTTCTTGAACAACTGCTGTGGAAAAGTCACTTTTTCAAGTACACTCTATGACCAATGTGGGTTCAAATTCATGACCCCAAGATCAAGGGTCCCATGCTCTACCGACTGAGCCAGCCAGGCACCCCTGAAAAGGTCATTTTGAAAAGAACGGAAGTCCGAACACCACATGCTTCCAACACTTACCTGATATAGTCCCCAATCTCCCTCTTCAGAGGATTTGAACCACAAGGAAGAGGTGTATAGTGTGTAGTCCTTACATTTAGCTTATCAAAATTCTGGAAAGCAATGATACAACACAGAATAAACTTAATAAACCATTAACATATGTAAAACAAGAGTCAGCACCACCATCAACCATGTTATGGTTAACCCGAAAGTTTATAAACTTGGATACTGCTCCTGCATTTTCATTATCTAGTGTGACAGACTGTTAAGCCTCCTTACACACTGGAAAAATTACCCATATGAATAAAGACAAATTTGATCACTCCTCTAGAAAGACTTCTTGGGGTACAAAGACTGGCAACGTTTCTCAAACACAACCAGCTTGTTCCTCCTCCAGATACTCCCATCTCTGCTTTTCCCAAGTCTGCTCCTTTTCATTCTCCTCCTTTCCGAGGCTTGACCACAGGTCTGAAAAAGCTCCCTTCAATTGAAGCTTATCTTTCATGTTGCCCAGTTTAGTTTCATCATGGTACTTATCACAAATAGCAATTTTAACTATCTCCCACCCGGAGATTTTAAATTCCAAGATAGTAGGGACCTTGGCCTACCCAGTTCACTAGCATATCCTCAGAACCTACAACAGAAAAACAGATGTAAATGGGAGACCTGTCTGACCAAGCAGAAACTCAACTGTGTTGAATTATATAAGCAAATCTCATTTGTTTACTTCATATATATTGGTTTATTATAACACTTTGTCAAGAGGTGTCTCAGTAACTTCCTCTACCCTACCCTTTCTCCTAATCTCATACCTGGCTCCCACTAAGTTGCTTGTGAAATTTGTACTTCAACTCATTACTGAGCCACTCTATTTAAAATCCAACACAACAGTCAGCAATTTCTAGAGGACCTACATGCTAGGCACTGTGGCTAAACACGTTTCATGGATTACCTCCTACAGCCCTCAGCCTGCCTTCCTAAGAGAAGATACCATAAGCAAACAGCCTTGGAGGTTAAATAACTGGATCAAAGTCATACACCGTCTGACTCAAATTGGTCTGGCTTCAAAGCACATATCCTCAAGCACTAGAGCAACCCTACTCCAAGTGTGGCCCACAAACTAGTAGAAGTCTGTAAGGTGGAGTTAAATACAGAAACCAAGAACTAATTATTTATAAACTTTGATGGCACTATGACATTGTTGTGACATTTTAACTGTATTCTACTACAGCACTGGGTGGACTGGAAATGAAAAATGAAACAAAATATGGTCCTTCATGTCAGACACTTTGAAGAACACTGCTTTAGACTGTATCATCTGGCATTTCCTAAGTCAAAGATGCTAGTGCTAATCACTCTTAATGAACTGTTTAATACTTAAATAATATAAAACTAGGCACTGATCTGATACATAATCCTAACCACCTACCTTGAGCAACAGGGGCCACTGAGATGTGTCCAACTGAGCCACCTTGGATTCAGGTTTGATAAGAAATTCTTCAGCATGTTGTATCTCCTTATACAGTATAGAAATACAGTTAGACTTCCCACCTGATTTTGTACAATTCCATTACTACCATATAAGTCTAAGCCTCTTAAAGAGAAAACAAGGTAGTCCCTATGCCTCTTCACTAGGACTTCCAAGTGAAAAAGAAATGAACCAGGACCTCAGAAGGGTAAGTGAAGTGCCACCAAGATGGGGACAGCTAGGAGTGCCTGGGTGGCTCGCTCAGTTAAGCGTCTGACTCTTGATTTCGGCTCAGGTCATGATCTCAGGGTCCTGAGATGGAGACCCGTGTCCGGCTATGCACACACACACACTCTCTCTAAAGAAAGAAAATCTTCAAAAAAAAAAGATGGGGACAGGTACTTAAAGAGAAAGAGGGATAGTGGGTCTGTGGGTGGGATAAAAAAGAATTTCAGAGAGAGGAGCTGATGTGGTCAACACCATTCAGCAAACTATACTTGACAGGAGAGATTTAGGTGTGGCTGGGGTTGTGTGGTTTACTACACAACCACTACCCAATTCCAACCTATTCCTCAGAAACTTTTAAAAAGTCTTTTTATGTAATGTGTTACCTAAGTAACCTTTCACTTTAGTTAAAGCAAAGTATAAAACATTCCTACTCACTGCTACATCTTCTTCTGGTAAAGACTTCCGCTCCTTTTTCTTCTTATGTTTCTTCGGCAAAATAAATACTAAAACAGACAAGAGATTTGGGAGTTTTTCCCGAAAATAAGGGTAACAAAGCTTAAAATAGAGAATGAAATCGGAGCAAGTAGAAAATGGACGTTTGGTCTAGAATTACTGGGGAAAACAAAGTGTGTAAGGCCAAACGCGTGGGTTGCACGGCTCGGTAACCGACCGCAAGCAGTCGCACATGTCGGCTTCCATTCCAGTTCACCACGTGGCCGTGGCGGGGCTTAAACCTGCCGCAGAAGTGTTCGGCCCACGGGCCACAAAGTTCCTTAAGTGACCACTCAACTGCCCCCTACCCGGTTCTGTGGCTCACAGAACTTTCTTGCGACTTGGAGCTACGAGCACGCCGGGGCCCCTCGGCCCTTATTCTTCCCCGTCTGTTCCTACCACCCTTTCGCGTGGTGCTGACCGTGGCGTCTGGGCTGTGGCGGCGGTACAGGCACTGCCAGGTCTCCCGTCACGGCGGGGAAGCCGGCACGGCCGACGCCTTTCAACGGGGACCCGGGCCCTAAAGAGGCTGTGCCTAGGCGGGCGGCCCGGGCCTCGCGGAGCTACGTCACTGAGAGGACCCCCTCCATCCCTTGCCCTCAAAACCGTAGACCCAAGGCCAAGAGGCAAGGCCAGCAGGAGAGGCCCGGCTGCGACGGGACCGGCCTGGCGGCAAACCAGCGGAGAACACGGCCCCCGATGCCGTCACCCTCCCATCCCCAGCTCTTCGGGGCGGCGGAGCTGGTACTTAGCCCGATCACCCACGAGGAAACGACCCTTACCTTCCGCGTCCGCCATGTTGCCCCGCACAGCGTGCGAGCCGCGCGGGCCACCACCAAGGGAGCTGGCAGAGACTCCCGCCGCCCTCAGGCCGCGCCACTAAAACCCGCCCACCTGTGCGACGCCGGGTGCGTGCAGCGCCGCGGGACTGAGGGGCGGGGCCAGGCTCGGGGAGGTGAGCCCGAGGCGCGCGCGGGCCGCCTGCGCAACTTCATTGGCTGGCTCGCCCCCCGCCCCTCCCCCGAGGTAGCCCGTCCGCGCGTGCGCTTTGGGACTCGCCCGGCCCTAGGCTGCCCGGGTTGGAGACGCATGCGCAGCCCGCCCCCGCGGCCCATAGTGTATGGGCGTGGCCCCGACCACAGTTCCCTGACCTTTGCTGTGTTTGACGCGGGCTTGGGCAGTCGGGTATCCCGTGAGCACTGTTAACAGCAGCTATCTGCTTCCTCTCGCCGACCCTTTAAGGTTGGTATCGGATCAGTCCTGATTGAAAAATGAAGACGTTGAGGCACAGAGGGGTTGAAAGTCCTTCGCTGCTTGCAATTCCCATCTATAGCTAGAGCGGTGCTGACCAATAGGAATACAGTGCGAGCCAGTTGTGGACTTCTAAATTTTCCAGCAGCCACATGGCAAAAAAACAAAAAGGTAAAAAGAAAAAGGTGAAGTTGATTTTATTTTTTTTAAAGATTTTATTTATTTATTTGACAGAGAGACAGTGAGAGAGGAAACACGAGCAGGGGAAGTGGGAGAGGGAAGAGCTTCCCGCGGAGCGGGGAGCCCGATGCGGGGCTCTATCCCAGGACCCTGGGATCATGACCTGAGCCGAAGGGAGACGCTTAATGACTGAGCCACCCAGGCGCCCCGTGAAATCGATTTTAATAACGACCTTTGTTTAACCCAGTGATCCCACATATTAGCATTTCAACACATAAGCGATAGGCTTCATGAATGGAATATTTTACATTTGTGTTTGTGTGTGGGGGTGAGATAAAAAAGAATTTCAGGGAGAATTTCCAGTGTGTGTTGTACACTGGACCTGCGCACCTGCATTTGAACTCCAGGACGGGGCTCCCTGTCAAGTGCTCTATAGTCACAAGTCGCTTAATGGCTGCAATATCTGACAGCAGGAAGTAGCGAATGGTGGTTGAAGCTGTCTTCCCTTCCTTCTTTGGTGTTCTCTCACTCTTCTATCTCTCAAGCGGGGATTCTTAATCTAACCTCTGTGGATTTGACTAAGCTCTATTTATTTAATTCCTTATTGCAATGGTAAATGGAATCTTTTGCCATTATATTTTCTAATGAGTTGCTGCTTTTCTTTGATTTCTTCTCTGCCATACAAAGATTTTATTTTGCTGTGGCTTAAAAAACAGCTGATGGTTGGCTTTTCCTCACTTTTAATTCTATCTACAATTTATTTAGGTGTAAGCCAAGGTAATAATAATAATGATGTAAATTCCCTTTTTATAGATAACCAAAGTCCCCAGAATCAGCCAATCCATGAGTAGTTCACTACTTACCCCCTTATTTTATAATGCTTCATTGGTAAATATTTCACTGAATAACTTTGAGGTGTTCATTGATAGTTCTCCTATGGGCTTCATCTTTCCCCAAAACTCTTCATCCAATCTGGTAGCAAAACCTCTCAGCTTTGCTTTCAAAAGAGGTCCAGAATCTGATGGTTTTTATCACCCTCACTGGTGTCACTGTAGTCCATGCCATCATTATAGCTCTCCTCTATTTTTCCAATGGGCTCCTACAGATCCCCCTGCTTCTACTTTGTCCAATTATACTGTCTTAACATAGAAACTGGCAAGTGCTTTTAAACTGTAAATCAGGCCTTGTCCCTCCTCTGCTCAAAGCCCAATGACTTCCCATCTGTAGTGGGATGAAGTGGCCCCCCCAAAAGGTATGTTCTCACCCCTAGACCCTGTGAATGTGACCTTATTTGGAAAAAGGGTCTTTGTAGATATAATTAAGTTAAGGATCTCAAGATGAGATCATCCTGCCTTACTCAGGTGGACCCCAAATCCAATGACAGGTGTCCTTAGAAGAGAAGGGAGGGCGCTTGGGTGACTCAGTGGGTGAAGCATCTGCCTTCAGCTCAGGTCATGATCCCAGGGTCCTGGGATCGAGCCCCGCATCGGGCTCCCTGCTTAGCAAGGGGCCTGTTTCTCCCTCTCCCTTTGCCCTTCCCCCCACTCATGTTCTCACTCACTCTCCTCTCTCTCTCTCAAATAAATAAATAAATATTTTTAAAAAAGAGAACGGGAAGAGAAGGGAAAAGACACACAAGCAAAAGAAATGAAGATGTAGGCAGAGACTAAAATGACTTCAGACTTCAAGCCTCCAGAACTGTAAGAGAATAAGTTTCTGTTGTTTAAAGCTATCCAGTTTGGGTAATTTGTTATGGCAGCCCTAGGAAACCAAAACACCATCTCACTAAGAGTAAAAGCCAAAGTGTCTGGGGCGCCTGGGTGGCTCAGTGGGTTAAGCGTCTGCCTTCGGCTCAGGTCATGATCCCAGGGACCTGGGATCAAGTCCCGCATTGGGCTCCCTGCTCAGCAGGGAGTCGGCTTCTCCCTCTCCCTCTGCCACTCCCCCTGCTTGTGCTGTTTCTCGCATTCTCTCTCTCTCTCTCTCTCTCTCTCTCTCTCTCTCTCTGTCAAATAAATAACTAAATAAATAAAATCTTTTAAAAGAAGCCAAAGTGTCCATGATGGCTGCTCCCCGTTCTCTTTCTGAGTCCACTCCTTCCACCGTTACCCCACTCCAGGCACACTCTCCCTTCTCGGGTCTTTTGCACCCGCTCTTCCCTCTGCCTTAAATGAATCTTGTTTATTGTCTCTCTTCACTAGAATGTTAGCCTTACGGAGCCAGGAAATGTTTTTCTGTTTTGTTCACTGCTATATATCCAGCTCCTAGAAGATGTTCAGTAAGTATTTTTGTTTAATGGATCTGTGTCTTGAACCCAGAAACCCCCTGGACCTTCCCTTACCAGCAGAAGCAGGGGTTTCCCCCCCATCCCCCTCTGGGGAGGCTGATCCTGTCTTTCTTGGAGATCTTGTGATAAAACCACCTGGTCAGTTAACTGAGCAAGAGAATGCCCATTGTCCTTGTGTCCTAACTCCTCACATCCCTCATTGTCTCCAATCCTAAGACTTGGGTAGGCAGAAATGTTGGAATGAACTTGTCATGTGCAACCTACTGGCTCAACCCTTAACTACATCCCCAGACAGAGTTCAAAGGACATTCCTTTCATCAAAACATTGAGAAGTACTTTGGTGAAGGTTCTGGAAAACTAATCTAGGAAAGGAGGTGAGAGGTATTGCCATAGAAACAGGGAGCCTGGAGCAGCAGAGGCCAAGTGGGGGCATCATGATTGGCAGCTGGAACCAGAATGGTTTATCCCCAAGGATCTTTGGTGGTGGCTAATTGGTCATGATGTCCTATTAATAATAAGCCACCTGGGGCGCCTGGGTGGCTCAGTCGGTTGAGCGTCTGCCTTCGGCTCAGGTCATGATCCCAGGGTCCTGGGATCGAGCCCCCCATCGGGCTCCCTTTGCCATTCCCCCTGCTTGTGCGCACTCTCTCTCCCTTCCTCTGTCAAATAAATAAACAAAGTCTTTAAAAAAAAAATAAGCCACCTATAATAGACAATGATCTATATAACCTCAACAACAAAAACTCTAGGTCTGGTGAATGGCAGTCTGCCTTGAATTGCCACAATGAAAAACATGGCCCCTCATCTAATCCCCAGACCCAGTTGCCCACAGGCTCAGAGCCCTCAAGTGAAGACAAGGCCAGGTACATACAACACTAGTGTATACTTCAAACCTTCATCCTTCTTTCCTGGGGGACATAGATTGCCACTGTGGTCCACTGGTCAGAAATGAAGACTTAGTCTGTGTCCCTCTCACTGTGGGTCCTCCTGTGGCTTTTTCCCCAGTTCCTAACTGTATAATTGGAAAAATCCGCAGCTGGAAAAATGCCCACAGGGGAATTTTGACTCAAGGACTGAGGACAATTATGGAAAGAAAACTCAAAAGGAAGCCCCTGGAACTGTCCCTTCAATTCTCTGGCATATTATTGTAATTAAGTCCCCAAGGACTGACTTGATCATCTCGCTGTCCCCCAAGACATCATGCTGGTGCATTACATTAATGGTATCCTGCCAACTGAACCTGAACAAATATTTCATCTCAGGGTGAGAGATAAGCCCCATGAAAATTTAGGGGCCCACCACCTCCATGAGGTTTCTGGGCATCCAGTGGGCTGAAGCATATTGAGATGGTTCCCCAAAGTGAAAACCAAGTTGCCATACCTCAAGTCCACTGCCACTAAGAAGCACAGTGCTTGGTGGGCCTCTTTTTGGAGGTGGCATCTCCCATTAGGATGCTACACAGAGCCTTTTCCAAACCTTGATAAGAGAATCACAGTTCAGGCCTCTGGAATTTGGGATAAAAATAAAGCTAGGACTGGCCAGGTGGCTGGTTAGCTCAGTTGAGTAGAATGTGACCTAACAACACCAACGTTGTGGGTTTGATCCCCAGACAGGCCAAGAAAGGCATTAGTTCTCATGTTTAATAAAGATTAATTGAAAAAAAAAAATGAAGCTAGGACCTACACATGCACCAATTTACTGGGAGGCAAAGCCCCTGACTTTCTTTCATCCTAGGTTGAAACTGAATAACTGTGTGATCTTAAGACCTGAGCTGCACGTCATGAACTGAGCATTGTTTGGCCAAGCAAGCCACAAAGTCAGGCGTGAGAGGCAGCGCTCTGCTGTCAAGTATAATGGTGTGGCTGCTGGGGAAAACAGTCTGGCAGTTCCTCAAAAGGTTAAACACGGAGTGGCCATATGATTCAGCAACTCCATTCCTATGTGTATATACCCAAGAGACTTGAAAACAGCTGTTTAAACAGTGGTCATAGCAGCATTATTCACAATAGCCTAAAGGTTGAAACAACCCAAATGTCCATCTACAGATGACTGGATAGACAAAATGTGGTCTATCCATACAATGGAGTATTACTCAGTCATAAAAAGAGTGAAGTGCTAATATGTACTACAACATGGATGAACCTTGAAAACATCATGCTAGGGGTGCTTGGCTGGCTCAGCCAATAGAGCATATGACTCTTGATCTCAGGGTTGTGAGTTTGAGCTCTACATTGGGGGTGAAAATTACTTAAAATCTTTTTTAAAAAAAGAAAGAAAACATCATGCTAAAGGAAGTAAGCATAGAGGGACAAATATTATATGACCCCACTCAGGTGAAATAGCCAGAATAGGCATCCTCACACAGGTAACAGGCATGTGAGGGAGGAGACTTCCAGAAGATTATAGCCTCCAGCCATCTGGTCACCCCCAGCCACTGAGTCATCTCAGCTGCGGCCCCAGACATTATGGAGCAGAGAGAAGACATTCTACTTTGTCCTGTCTGACTTCCTCAGCATAATGTGTCAGCTGAATAACAAGCCATCCCAAAACTCCGTGTCCTTAAACATGTTGTAATGCCGACAGATTACAAATATGGTGAGAATTCAGCTGGAAGGCCTGGTGCAACTGGAACTGGAACAGGATCTGCCCATGTGGCTTGGACTTCCTTATAGCATGGCAGCCTCAGAGTAGTCAGACTCTGGACTTAGTGGCTTAGGTCTCCAAAAGCAGGTGTTGGAGTAGATAAGGCATAAAACTGTCAGAATAACCTTTTGTAACTTGGCCCTGGAAGTCCCATAAATCAGTTCTGCTGTGTTGTATGATACAAGCAGTCACAAGATTATCCAGGTTCAAGGGGAGAAGGCATCAACCCCACCTCTCAATGAGAGGAGTGTCAAAGAATTTTGGAGCCCTGGCTTAAAACTGTCACATTCATGAAGACTTAACTAACTGCTGTGCAAAGCCAAACAGTGAATTAAATGGAGATAAAATAGGAATTTCCTTCCCTGCATCTCTCAAGTCTTTGAACTAATTTCTGACATTGTCCCCTAAGTATATGTTATTTCTTTTGACTTAACACTTTGGTAGAAAGGCAAAGCCCGGGAGATTTCTACTTGGGCCTTTCTGCCATGATTGCCTCATTCCATGGATCAGGAATCAGTGTGAGGATTCTGCTGATTTTTAACAATTTTAGCCATTCTGATAGGTATGTGGTGGAATCTCATCGTGGTTTTGATATGCATTGCCCTAATGACTAATGATATTGAATATCTTTCCAAGTGCTCGTTTGCCACCCTCTGTATATCCTCCCCAATGAATTGTTTCTTCATATCTTTTATCTATTTTCTGATTGGATTATTAGTGATTTGGGGTTTTTTAATTATTGAGTTTTGAAAGTTCTTTATATATTCTTGATATGAGTCCTTTAGCACATACGTGCTTTGCAAACATTTTCTCCCAGTCTGCTGCTTGTCTTTTTTTTTTTTTTTCTAAAGATTTTATTTACTTGTGGGGGGAGCATGAGCAGGGGAGAGGGGCAGAGGAAGAGGGAGAAGCAGACTCCTTGCTGAGCAGGTAACCCAACACGACCCTGGGATCATGACCTGAGCCAAAGGCAGACACTTAACCGACTGAGCCACCCAGGTGCCCCTTTAGCTTGTCTTTTTATACTCTTAACAAAATTGTTAATTTTGATGAAGTCCCATTTATCATTTTTTTTCTTTTATGCATTGTATCTAAGAATATCTTCTATGTTGTCTTCTAAAAGTTTTATAGTTGTACATTTTACATATAAATATATGATTCATTTTGAGTTAATTTTTGTATAAGGTGTGAGGTTTTGGTTAAAGTTCTTTTTTTTGCCTATGGATGTCCAATTTCTCCAGCACTGTTTGTTGAAAAGACTATCCTTCCTCCATTGAATTGCTTTTGTGCCTTTGTCAAAAACCAGTTGGGCAGATTTATGTGGGTCTGTTTCTGGGCTCACTATTTCATTCCCTATGTGTCTATGTGTCTATTCCCCTACCAATAGCACACAGTCTTGATTACTGGAGCTACTATATAATAAGCCTCAGAGTCATGTAAAGAGATTTGTGTGTTGATCTTATATACTGCAACCTTGTAAAACTCACTTATTAATTATGGGAGTTTTTTCTGTGGATATCTTGGGATTTCCTATGAAGACAATTATATCATCTGCAAATTGAGACAGTTTTATTCCTTCCTTCTCAATCTGTGTGCCTTTTTTTCCTAGAAGTTTCAACGCTATGTTGAATAAGAACAGTGAGAGCAGATATTCTTGCCTTATTCCCAATCTTAAGGGAACATCTGTGCACGTTCTTCAACAAGTTGCAGAAGCTCCCCTGCCATTCCCAGTTTTATGAGAGTGTTTGTCACAGATTGGTGTTGGGTTTTGTCAAATGCTTGTTCTGCATCAGTCAATATAAGCATGTGACTTTTCTTCTTTTGCTTGTTAACATGGTGGATTGCATTGATTTCTTTTCTGTTTTTGTAAGTAACCACTACCTCCAATGTGGAGCTCAAACTCACAACCCTGAGATCAAGAGTCACACGCTCCACCGATGGAGCCAGCCAGGGGCCCTTGATTGACTTTCATATATTGAATGAGCCTTGCATCTCTGGAATAAACCCCACCTAGTCATGGTGTATTAATCCTTTTAATGTAGTTGTGAATTCTACTTGCTAGTATTTTGCTGAGAATTTGTACGTCTAGATTCACGAGGCGTATTGGTCAGTAGTTTTCTTTTCTTTTTTTGTCTTACTGTCTTTTTCCGGTTTCGGTATCAGAGTAACATTGTCCTCATAGAATGAGTTCAGAAGTGTTTGATTTGGACTTGTGACGATAATTTCATACTATTTTAAATATAACAATAATGGATATGATGTCAGGATTTTTTCATAAGACATGAAAAAGACTATCATTGGTAATATTAAAGTCAAATTTCAAATTTAGGTGGAAATTGGGTTGCTCTCACTTTCAGAGAAGCACTTTACAGAGGTCCATAGAGGAAAAAAGAGAGTTTCTGTATCTGAAATTGTACCATGGCACTCCAGGCCTTTAGTTCACGTGCTTCATAGATGATTTGAACATGCATGTGCAGTCATCCCCCCTCGTGGCTGTCCCTGATCCAGAAATCAGAGAGGCATTTTCTTTTCAAATTTTCTTCTTCTTTTCTTTTAAGATTTTGTTTATTTATTTGTCAGAGAGAGCGCACACAAGCAGGGGGAGTGGCAGGCAGAGGGAGAAACAGACTCCCTGCTGAGCAGGGAGCCCAATGTGGGACTCAATCCCCGGACCCTGGAATCATGACCTGAGCAGAAGGCAGACACCCAACCGACTGTGCCACGCAGGCGTCCCTCAAATTTTCTCTCTTTTCACAAGAGAATAAGATTCACAGTCATTTTGCCGATCATAACATAATTAAAATAGAAACTCTTTTTTAAAATTTTTATTTATTTATTTAAATTTTTTTATTTGTCAGAGAGAGAGAGCAAGCAGTAGGCAGAGGGAGAAGCAGGCTCCCCCCTGAGCAGGGAGCCGGACAATGTGCGTGGGGCTGGATCCCAGGACCCTGGGATCATGACCTGAGCCAAAGGCAGATGCTTCACCCACTGAGCCACCCAGGCGCCCCTAAAATAGAAACTCTTCTTTTTTAAGATTTTATTTATTTATTTAACAGAGAGAGAGACAGCAAGAGAGGGAACACAAGAAGGGGGAGTGGGGGAGGGAGAAGCAGACTCCCTCTGCTGAGCAGGGAGCCCGGTGTGATGCGGGGCTCCATCCCAGGACCCTGGGATCATGACCTGAGCCTAAGGCAGACGCTTAACGACTGAGCCACCCAGGCGCCCCTAAAGTAGAAACTCTTAATAGTAGATATTTATGTTTGCAAATCCTTCTAGTTCTAAGATTTATAGTACTTAATGAAAGGCTAAGCCAAACCTATTTTAAAATAATAATAAATGGGGAAGCCGCGCTACGGAATCCAGGTGCTGAAAACCACTTGTTATTCAAATGGATCTCCTCTCCCCAGCCTGGAGTGCAAAGAAGCTAGGAAGGGGCTTGATGAAACGAAAATAAAAGTTGCAATACAAACAGGTCATCTCTCCCTAGAAATTTAGGGGGAATAACCTTGTAGAAGCAATTTTGATTCGTCTGGAAGAGAGAACAGTGCTCCCTGAAAGATGCAAGAATGATTGTCCATATCACACCCTTATTTAATCGACATGGTTAGCCTGGAGATGAGTAGTGGGTAATTGTAAAATTAATCAGGTTGTGACTTGAATTGAAGCTGCTATTCCAGATGATGTTGCTTTTCTAGAGCAAATCAACACAGCCCCTGGTACCTGGTAAGTGGCTATTTGCCTGACAAATGCTCTTTTCTCGGTTGCAATCAGCAGAGACTGTCGGAAGCAGCTTGCCTTCATCTGGCGGGAACAGAAGTACGGCTTTAGTGCCTTGCCTCAGGGCTATGTCTCTCCTCTGGCTCCCTGCCGTAATCCAGGGTGAATGGAACTCGATTGTTGCAACGATCATGGTGAACATCGGGCTGGTCCATTATATTGAAGACATTATGCTTACTGGACCTGGTGGATCAAGAGGTACTTTATTAATAAACATGTATGCCAGAGGATGGGAAATAAAGCTCATGAAAACTCAAAAGCCTGGCCCTCAGTAACACTTTGAGATGCGCTGGACCGTGTTGGGTATTCAACAGGTTGCTGCACTTCATGCTACCTACCACTCAAAAAGAGACACAGCATTTGGTGCGGTTCTTTGGATTCTGTAGGCAACATATACTACATTTCATTGTTCCACACCTGGGGTGCCTGGCCAGCTCATTCGGTAGAGCCTGACTCTTGATCTCAGGGTCGTGAATGCGAGTCCCATGTTGGGGGTAGCATTTACTTAAGAAAACAAAAGTTGCAGGCGCCTGGGTGGCTCAGATGGTTAAGCGTCTGCCTTCGGCTCAGGTCGTGATCCCAGGGTCCTGGGATCGAGTCCCACATCGGGCTCCCTGCTCCTTAGGAGCCTGCTTCTCCCTCTGCCTCTCTCTCTCTCTCTCTCTCTCTCTCTCTCTCTCTCTCTTTGTCTTTCATGAATAAATAAGTAAAATCTTTAAAAAAAAAAAAAGAAAACAAAAGTTGCAAAACTGTTCTACACCAATGCATTGAACAAGTAATCTGTGAGGCTGCATGTGTTTAGCAGCACGGAGGGCAAGGAAAGACTCTGTAGCAGGTCCAGGCCACTTGACCCTTATGATGACGTAGATCCAATATAACTAGAGCCTTTGACACGCTGGCAGGCTACATGGAGCCTCTGGCCAGTCCTAACAGGAGAAACATTCAGTGGACCACTGGTGTTTTGAAGCAAACAATACATTCTACCACAAAAGAAGTATTTTCCTTTGGATCAACAGCTGCAGTAAAGTCTGAATGCCTCGCCATGGAGCATCAAGGAACCATGTAACCTTAGCTGTCCCTGATAAAGTGGGTGCTAACTGATCATCCAGGGCAAGTGGAGTATTTGAGACCAGACTCAAGCAGGTCTGGAAGGTACAAGAAAGTTGCTCGAGCAAGTGGCTCCCATCTCTGGGGGCCCTATTACTACTGTATGGCAACCTTTTTCTTGACTCACGCATGTAACCTCATAGCGAGTTGTCCATGACTAGGTATATTGGTCAGAGTCTCAGAGGGAAGCGAATGGTAGACTCAATGGGTTGAACTGAGGAGAGCATGAGGGTTTGTTTTTTGTACAGAGGTGGGAGCAAGGTTAAGGGAATCCGCAACTAAGTGGTGAGGCTCCCAGGGCCTGGCATCAGTTGGTATGGTCACGGCCACGGCCACTGCTATGTACTCCACCTGCCCACAGGAGTGCCAGCCTCCAGTAAGGTAGCATTCCCTGGGGTGACCAGCCGGCTACCTGGTAGCAGAATGAGACTGCGGTTGGGGGAAAATATGCTGAAAGGTGGGGGTTCTGTCTTAGAGGATGAGGGAAGTAACTTTGAACTGGTGCTCTATGGTGTAGTTTCTCCATAGCCAGAATCCCTTGTTTCAGGAATCAGGAGGTGAAAGTGGGAGCAACTTCTCTACTATCACACCTGATTTACTGCCTAGGTGTTTCTTCCCATCCCCACAGCTTTGAGCTCTGCTGGTTCCCAAGGAAAGAGTGCTTCTACCAAGGCCACGACATTGGTACTATTGAATTGCAAGTTGAGATTGCCATCTGGCCATTTAGGGTTGTTTATGCCACTGAATCAACAGACAAACCATGGGTCTACTGAACTGGCTTGATGGTTGACACTGTTGGTTATCAAGTGGAAAACTGTTGCTGTTAAACAATGGGATTGGGAAGGACTCTATCTGCAATGCAAGGGATCCTCTGGACACCTCCGACTATAGCCACGCTAGGCAGGACCACTGAGGATTAAGACTCGGGGGGGGGGGGGGGGGGGGGGGTGGGGGAGAATAAAGGTTTGGGTCACTCACAAGATAAAGAATTCTGACCACCTGAGTTCTTGGCTGGAGAACAAAGGGAGGACAGAGAGGGTAGTAGAAGAAAGAAGATTATAAACACCAATTATGGTCTGAAGACCAGTTACAGAAATAAGGATTGTAGTAACTGTGTGTGTGTGTGTGTGTACATACAAAGTTTTTCAATCTTCTTTCTATATTTTATACATATCAAATAAAGGCTGATAGAGGTTAGCTTTATAGTGTTTTTCTTTAGGTTGTAGGATATTGAGGTGGGGTGATGTCGGAACTAGAAGAGCAATGACTGTCCCCTAGAGATGGCTACAATGACCAACGAAACTTTTGGTCTCCTGTTTTAAGGAGTGCTTTTCAGGTTGCAGGAGGGATAGCAGCATTGTTTGAGCGGGAGCAAGCTGTTGTGGCTTTAGTGAGTTTATTTTGTGCACAGGGTGTCTATAATATTGACTAGCTAGGGGGTGGACTGTGGTGGATATGTGGTTTTCCTCCTCTTTGGAAAGGTGGGAGAGCTAAAAACATAAAAAGATATTTACCATTCTCCCTTGAACCTGGACTTCTAGATGCGAATTAGGTTCGGCTAATCCGATACACTAGTGCGAGATTTGGAAAGTGGGAGAGAAGTCGGGGATTGTGGTGGTGGTGAAGGTCAAGTGGGCTCTGAGAGGTGGGAGTGCCGCAGTAGCTGGAGTCCAGCTTTGTGAGAGTAATAGTGTCTGAGTGATGTGACCTTGGAGTCGAGAAGTCTCTTTGTAAGTCCTAGAAATGATGTGGCATTTATTTCTTCCAAGTGTCACTTTCAAGTGAGAGGCATCACACCACGGGAAAAGAGCACTATGGGTCAGGGTGGTGGCCAGGTGGTAGGAAACCTCAGGTAGATGAGCATCGTGGGTGCTGATCCTCACTGTGATTATCAGTGCTTTTCTGTTTACAAAGTATGTTGGCCCTGGCCCCTGGCCCGTGATCCCTATTTGTGTGGGTTTGGACAGGTGATGTTATTGTCCTGTTTCTCATTTTACTCAGAAGCAAAAATGAGGCAATGAGAAGGCCCATGGATTCGGGGGTTTGTGCATATCCCGTAAGATCATGCCCGCCAAGTGCTTAGCATAGTAACTGGCACTGCAGAAAGTCTCAATCAATGTTAGCTCATTATTGGGAGCTCAATCATCAATGTTAGCTCATTGTTGTTATCGGTATTATTTAAAGTGCTCGGCGCACCCTGTGGCACGACCTTTCTTAGACCCAGCGTTGAAAACCCTAGAGGCCTGGAGACTGCAAACAGCACCTCCAAGTTGTAACCTTTTGAATTGGGATGCTGCTCGGGTTCCGGAGGACATTTGAATAGCTCTGCAGCCGAGCTTCTCGCTGAAATACAATGATCTTCGGGGGAGGGGCGCACGCGAGCCATTCCTCGGCAAACAATCGAGGGCAGCGGGGAAGTCGGAGGGGAGTCCTGCTTCCCTTCCTCCCTCACCGGGTCCCTCGCAGGTGCGGGTCCTAGGCTTCGGCTCCCGTAACCCTGGGGCCCGGAGCCGCGGCGCGCTCGCTCGAAGGGGCTTCCCCGGCCCGGCCGCCCGCTCCCCGCGCCGTCTGGGCCGCGGGCGGTGGCGCCGTCCCCCCGCCCCAGGGGGCCGCGGCGGGCCGGGGGCGGGGGTCGCGGCGGGGGCTTGGGGCGGTGCTGGGCGGGCGGCGTTGGGCCCGCCCCGCCGGCATCCCCGGCCCGACTTCCTCCTGCCGCGGCGACCCAGCTGGAGGAAGCGGCGGCGGCGGCCACGATGAGTGCGGGCGACGCCGTGTGCACGGGCTGGCTCGTCAAGTCGCCCCCCGAGAGGAAGCTGCAGCGCTACGTGAGTAGGGGCGTCCTCGGGCCGGGCCGACGGACGCACAGCGAAGTTGCACGTCGAGCCGGTGTGGCCGCTGCGCCCCGCGGCCGGCCGGGCCGGGTGGCTCCGGAGCGCCGCGAGGCGAGAGGAGGGAGGCGGCCGGGGCGACCTCCCGGTCTGTGGCGGGGAGGCCGGCGCGGGGGGGAGGGGGGGGAGCCGGGAGAGGGGCCGCGGGACCGGGCCTGCCGGGCCGGGCGGGCGGCGAGGCTCCGGACTCCCCTTGCACCGTCTGGGGCGCTCTCTCGTGTGGCTGTCAGCGGATACTCCTCTTCTGGAGCCTTCCACAGTGGCTCATGGTTTCTTATGGTGTCGCTTCTCTGGTCTTTATGCTGACACCGCACTTTTCGAGTACCAGCAGGAACCAAGGACTTTTGCTAGTACGAAATACGGGACGCTCGGAAGAGCGCATCTTCCTACACTTTCCATTTCCATTTTAAATGTACTACCGACCGCTCAAGAGTTCATTATCTCCATCGGCACGCTCAGGACAAGGTCTTAAAAACATTCCGCCGCAAGACCTGATTGTTACTGAGTGCTCTCCAGCCATTAGGAAGAACCGCTTCGGCCCTCAGGGAATTGCATATAAATAGATATTAGGGCTTCTTGCTGTTTTTAGGCCGGGAGTAGTTGGATGGATCCATCTTGTTCATAATTCCTAACTTCTCTGCAACTCCAGAACACGGTGGTAGGAACGAACGCACCCGTGTTGGCTTTGCTCCAAAGCAACCCGCCCCAAATAAGGTGTTCTTGTGTGTACCGTGCTCCCAAACCGGTGTCCCCGTTTCCACCAAATTGCACCTTTGTTTTTCTTCCCACGTTTACGAGGCACATACTGTGTCAAACTGCAGGAGGTGGAATTATAAAGACTTTAATCATGACAGGACCCGTTAATGATAATAAATTTCCTCGGCCACTTTCCCCATTGACCCTGAACCAGACAGTGTCCCTCTCTTAGGAGTTTTTGAGAAGTTTTTGTTGTTTGTTCTGTGGAGCAACATTTTAAAAATCTTTGTAAAGATTTACTTATTTTATTTATTTTTAATTTTTAAAAGATTTTTTAAAGTGATCTCTCTACACCCAGCGTGGGGCTGGAACTCCCAACCCCAAGATCAAGAGTTGCATGCTGTACCAACTGAGCCAGCCGGGCGTTCATCTATCTGCTGAGCAACATTTTAGAAGAATGTTGTTCAACTTAGCAGGGACACTTTTCAGGTTAACTACCAGTGTGTC